CCATGTCTGTGCCTGGGCGGGGGTTGGGCACCTGGCTCGGCTCACGCCCCCCAGGACCAGCGGTGGGTGGGTACCTCCCCCATCCGCGGCGGAGAGGCCCCGAGCACACACTGTGGTCGTCCTGCAATGGACACGCTGGGGTGCAGCGCCCTCCGAGCTGCCTGCCAGGCGGGAGACACAGAGGCCTGGTTCCAGGGTGATGGGTGCATCAGAACAGCCTCGGGTAGACGAGATCCTCTGCCTGTGGGATTCCCACCCGCTGCACAGCACCACCCTTAGCCCGCACCCTGGCCTGGAGACGCCAGCCCAGCAGAGATCGGGTGCACCTGCTTTAATTCACCGCAGTATTTTCTGAAATCGGATGCCTCCCTTTTCGGTGGGGCACGTTCAAAAGACAGTGAGAACCCCCCCGCCGGCTGTGCGTGATACCCCTCCCCCCGTCAGCCTTCCCAAGTAAAACATTCGCTGAACATCCCGGCCAAGAGAAAACAGAGGGAGAGCTGCCCAGCCCCACATGCCGGGGCTGGAGGAGCCGGCCTGGGAGGGAGTATTATAGGGCCACAGTGGGGAGAAGGGCCCAGTCTGGGGCAAGGCTGAGCGCTGCAGGAGACAGGCCTCTGAGAGGCAGGGCAGAGGCTTTGTTCGGCCAGTCCTCCCCAGAGACAGGTGCTAGTTAGGCGGAGAAGCCGGCTCCAGGGCCCCCTGCTTGGGCTGCCTACTCGACACGCTGTGCTCAGCTCTGTGCCTGAGCCCTGCTGGGGGCAGCCTCTCCTCGTTGATGCTGGGTGTGCCTCAGGGAGGTGGCTCCATGCCCGGGCAGGCTCAGGTTCCTCCTCACTCCAGCCGACTGCAGGCCAGTGCGCACAGCTCAGCAGGCAGGTGAGCAGCCTGGTAGGGCCCCATGCCCACTGCCCCCTTTGGCCAGCTCATCCTGCTTCCGCCCAGGGGCTGTGCCTTGGCTTCCAGGGCCGCCCTGCACTGAATTGGACTGGGGGGTGGACAGAGATCACACCCCTGGCTGGGGCTGTGCGCGAGCAGCTCCCAGGGCCGGGTTCAGGAGGGAGGTGGGAGATGGTGTGGTGGGCTTTTAATGCCGCCTGTCCCCCCCTGCGGGCTCCCTGGCTCTGAGCGCCAGGGTCTCTGGCGAGGCTGGCAGCCTGTGAGTGCCCTGAGCTCCGTCTCTGGTTTCTTCTGCGTCTGGGCCAGTGAACACCTGAGCCGGGATGGGGGCAGGGAGCAGAAGGCTCTGCGCTCCTGTGCCCAAGGAGCCAGGCTCATTCCCCTTGCCGGGCCCACCAAGGTCTCCGGCACCCCCGTCCTGACCCAGAGGGGTGGCTTGTGCCTGCCTGGGAGCACTGCCAGCAGGGCAGAGGCAGAAACCCTGCCAGAGCAGGGAGGGGGAGGCGG